AAATGTGTCAACTTCAACTGGTGAAGTACTGAGAGAAAGCTACACAAAAGGCAGCAAGGTATTAGTAAGTGTACCTCTGATATTTTAACCACCTCTGACTTTTCCATGGAATGGACTACTAGTAGTCCCTGTCAGAGCTACATTTGAAAGGAAAAAAAGAACTTGAAGTCAAATGCTGTTGATTAATTCATGGTGTTATTTTGTGTTTACTCAACTCATTTATGTTGACTTGTAAATTAGTAATTTACAAACTATTCATTAATTCATTGCCTGCATATCAGCAAACAAGTTTTCTTAATAAAGAATCTGGTGGCTGGACACAGTGGTTTCCACCTGTAACCTCAGCACATTGGGAGGGCAAGGCGGGAGGATTGCTTGAGGCCAGGAGTCTAAGATTAGCCTGGGCAACATAGCAAGATCTCATCTCCACAAAAAGTGAATATATTGGCTGGGCATGGTGGCTGACTTATTCTTGTAGTTCAAGGTATTCAAGAGCCTGAGGTAGGAGGATCACTTGAATCCAGGAGTTTGAGGCTGCAGTGAGCCATGATCCTAACACTGCTCTCCAGTCTTGGGGACAGACCAAGACACCATCTCTTAAAAAAAGAAATCTAGAGGATTCAGTGGAATGTGGAAGTGCATGTGTACATAGGTGTGCTCAAGAATATGTTGAAGATTACACCTCAGAATGAAGGTCATTTTTTTTTTTTATTGCATTTTAGGTTTTGGGATACATGTGAAGAACATACAAGATTGTTGCATAGGTACTCACATGGCAGCGTGATTTGCTGCCTTCCTCCCCTTCACCTATATCTGGCATTTCTCCCCATGCTATGTCTCCCCAACTCCCCACCCCCCGCTGTCCCTCCCCTATTTCCTCCCAACAGACCCCAGTATGTGATGCTCCCCTCCCTGTGTCCATGTGTTCTCATTGTTCAGCACCTGCCTATGAGTGAGAACATGCGGTGTTTGATTTGCTGTTCTTGTGTCAGTTTGCTGAGAATGATGGCTTCCAGGTTCATCCATGTCCCTACAAAGGACATGAACTCATCGTTTTTGATAGCTGCATAATATTCCATGGTGTATATGTGCCACATTTTTCCTGTCCAGTCTACCATCGATGGGCATTTGGATTGGTTCCAGGTCTTTGCTATTGTAAACAGTGCTGCAGTGAACATTGATGTGCAGGTGTCCTTATAGTAGAACGATTTATAATCCTCTGGATATATACCCAGGAATGGGATTGCTGGGTCAAATGGAATTTCTATTTCTAGGTCCTAGAGGAATCGCCACACTGTCTTCCACAATGGTTGAACTAATTTACACTCCCACCAACCATGTAAAATTGTTCCTATTTCTCCACATCCTCTACAGCATCTGTTGTTTCCAGATTTTTTGTGATTGCCATTCTAACTGGCATGAGATGGTATCTCAATGTAGTTTTGATTTGCATTTCTCTAATGACCAGTGATTATGAGCATTTTTTCATATGTTTGTTGGCCTCATGTATGTCTTCTTTTGTAAAGTGTCTGTTCATATCCTTTGCCCACTTTTGAATGGGCTTGTTTGTTTTTTTTTCTTGTAAATCTGTTTTAGTTCTTTGTAAATTCTGGATATCAGCCCTTTGTCAGATGGGTAGACTGCAAAAATATTTTCCCATTCTGTTGGTTGCCCATTCACCCTAATGACTATTTCTTTTGCCATGCAGAAGTAGTGGAGTTTGATTTGGTCCCATTTGTCTATTTTGGCTTTTGTTGTCAATGCTTTTGGTGTTTTGGTCATGAAGTCCTTGCCTACGCCTATGTCCTGAATGGTTTTGCCTAGATTTTCTTCTAGGGTTTTTATGGTGTTAGGTCTTATGTTTAAGTCTTTAATCCATCTGGAGTTAATTTTAGTGTAAGGTGTCAGGAAGGGGTCCAGTTTCTGCTTTCTGCACATGGCTAGCCAGTTTTCCCAACACCGTTTATTAAACAGGGAATCCTTTCCCCATTGCTTGTTTTTGTCAGGTTTGTCAAAGATCAGATGGTTGTACATATGTTGTGTTGCTTCCGAGGCCTCTGTTCTGTTCCATTGGTCTATATCTCTGTTTTGGTACCATTACCATGCTGTTTTGATTACTGTAGCCTTGTAGTATAGTTTGAAGTCTGGTAATGTGATGCCTCCCGCTTTGTTCTTTTTGCTTAGAATTGACTTGGCTATGCGGGCTCTCTTTTGGTTCCATATGAAGTTTAAGGTATTTTTTTCCAGTTCTGTGAAGAAGGTCATTGGTAGCTTGATGGGGTTAGCATTGAATCTGTAAATTACTTTGGGCAGTATGACCATTTTCATGATATTGATTCTTCCTAACCATGAACATGGAATGTTTCTCCATCTGTTTTTGTTCTCTCTTATTTCGTTGGGCAATGACTTGTAGTTCTCCTTGAAGAGGTCCTTTACGTTCCTTGTTAGTTGTATTCCTAGGTATTTTATTCTCTTTGTAGCAATTGTGAATGGAAGTTCGTTCTTGATTAGGCTCTCTTTAAGCCTGTTACTGGTGTATAGGAATGCTTGTGATTTTTGCACATTGATTTTGTATCCTGAGACTTTGCTGACGTTGCTTATCAGTTTCAGGAGATTTTTTTGTGAAGTAGTTAACAAGCCTGTAGAAGGTTAGGATTCCAATTTAAAGTTTTCACTTGAAAGCCTTCAAGGTTCAGTTGTATGTCATGTAACATGGAGTAGTGCTGAATTTGGCATAAGACTTAATGACCTTATTTGCAGCTTCCAAGAAATTCTTCTCAGTAGCAATTTTTCGCCATACTCTGATGGCAAACATATCAGCTTCTGTGCAGACACTTCTAATCTCAGCACCAGTGCTATTTGGACACAGTCGTGCTAACAATTCAAATCTGATATCTCTTTCAACACTCATTGAACCAGCGTGAATCTTAAAGTTGTGGGTCCCACCTTCTAGATCAGGCAAGGTAAATTCAATTTTTCTATCCAATCTCCCTGGCCTCATCAGTGCTGGATCCAAAGTATCAGGTCTGTTAGTGGCCATCAGCACTTTAATATTGCCTCGAGTTTCAAAAGCATCAAGCTGATTGATCAGTTCCAACATTGTTCTCTGCACTTCATTGTCACCTCCAGCACCATCATCAAACCGAGCCCCTCCAATAGCATCAATTTCATCAAAGAAGATAAGGCAGGCTTTTTTTGTTCTGGTCATTTCAAAGAGCTCACGAACCATTCGAGCCCCCTCACCGACATATTTCTGTACAAGTTCAGATCCAATAACTTGAATGAAGCACACATCAGTTCGGTTGGCAACTGCCCATGCACAGAGTGTCTTGCCTGTACCGCATGGACCAAAGAGCAGCACACCTTTGGGAGGCTCAATGCCAAGGTTCACAAACCTCTCTGGATGAAGTAATGGGGTTTCAACTACTTCTTGCAATTTCTCAATCTGTTCCTTATAGCCACCAACATCACCGTATGTGACATCAGGTTTTTCCTCCACCTGCATCATGGTAGCTGTTGGGTTAATCTTAGGAGGCAGTGGAATGTGAATTTGATATTTATTTCTGTCCACACCCACTCTCATCCCTTCTTCAATGTCCGTAGATGCCACTTGATCACTAAGGTCCACCACAAACTTGGCAAACTGCTTTACGCTGATAATGTATTTGGGGTCCTCTGAATCAGCATTGATTATCTTTGTACACCTGGCAACCTGTAAAGGCGTTCACTCTGGAGTGTCTGCTTATCTGCAGCCAAATCCCAAAGTGCTGGAGGGGCCAGGCCAGTGTCAGATTCTTTAATACCAGTGAGCTCATTACTTTTCTTGAAAAGTTGCTGAATGCCATCTTCAACTTGCTTGATCTGCTTAGAATAAGTGCTCTGACCGTAAGTTTTCATCAAGGCAATATCCCCCTCATCCAGAGCTTGGATGGGCTTGTCCTTCTCATCCTCTTTGGTCTTCTGCTGATCGGCACCGAGGTAATCTGGCATTTTAACAGCTCCAGCTGCCTCCACTCCTTAATGATTTGAAGGTCATTTTTTTTTTCCATTTATTAATTTTATTGCATTTAGGATTTGGGGTACATGTGAAGAACATGCAAGATTATTGCATAGGAACACACGTGGCAGTGTGATTTGCTGCCTTCCTCCCCATCACCTACATCTGGCATTTCTCCCCTTGCTATCTCTCCCCAGCTTCCCACCCCCCACCATCCCTCCCCTATTTCCCCCCAACTGACCCCAGTGTGTAGTGCTCCCCTCCCTGTGTCCACGTGTTCTCATTGTTCAACACCCGCCTATGAGTGAGAACATGCGGTGTTTGATCTTCTGCTCTTCTGTCAGTTTGATGAGAATGATGGTTTCCAGGTTCATCCATGTCCCTACAAAGGACACAAACTCATCGTTTTTGATGGCTGCATAATATTCCATGGTGTATATGTGCCACATTTTCCTTTTCCAGCCTATCGTTGATGGGCATTTGGGTTGGTTCCAGGTCTTTGCTATTGTAAACAGTGCTGCAATGAACATTTGTGTGCACGTGTCCTTATAGTAGAACGATTTGTAATCCTTTGAATATATACCCAGTAATGGGATTGCTGGGTCAAATGGAATTTCTATTTCTAGGTCCTTGAGGAATCGCCACACTGTCTTCCACAATGGTTGAACTAATTTACACTCCCACCAACAGTGCAAAAGTGTTTCTATTTCTCCACATCCTCTCCAGCATCTGTTGTCTCCAGATTTTTTAATGATTGCCATTCTAACTGGCATGAGATGGTATCTCAATGTAGTTTTGATTTGCATTTCTCTGATGACCAGTGATGATGAGCATTTTTTCATATGTTTGTTGGCCTCACGTATGTCTTCTTTTGTAAAGTGTCTGTTCGTATCCTTTGCCCACTTTTGAATGGGCTTGTTAGTTTTTTTCTTGTAAATCTGTTTTAGTTCTTTGTAAATTCTGGATATCAGCCCTTTGTCAGATGGGTAAACTCTAAAAATTTTTTTCCCATTCCGTTGGTTGCCGATTTGCTGTAATGACTGTTTCTTTTGCTGTGCAGAAGCTGTGGAGTTTGATTAGGTCCCATTTGTCTATTTTGGCTTTTGATGTCAATGCTTTTGGTGTTTTGGTCATGAAGTCCTTGCCTACACCTATGTCCTGAATGGTTTTGCCTAGATTTTCTTCTAGGGTTTTTATGGTGTTAGGTCTTATGTTTAAGTCTTTAATCCATCTGGAGTTAATTTTAGTGTAAGGTGTCAGGAAGTGGTCCAGTTTCTGCTTTCTGCACATGGCTAGCCAGCTTTCCCAACACCATTTATTGAACAGGGAATCCTTTCCCCATTAATTGTTTTTGTCAGGTTTGTCCAAGATCAGATGGTTGTATATATGTTGTGTTGCTTCCGAGACCTCTGTTCTGCTCCATTGGTCTATATCTCTGCTTTGGTACCAGTGCCATGCTGTTTTGATTACTGTAGCCTTGTAGTATAGTTTGAAGTCCAGTAGTGTGATGCCTCCCGCTTTGTCCTTTTTGCTTAGAATTGACTTGGCTATGCAGGCTCTCTTTTGGTTCCATATGAAGTTTAAGGTGATTTTTTCCAGTTCTGCGAAGAAGGTCATTGGTAGCATGACAGAGATAGCATTGAATCTGTAAATTACTTTGGACAGTATGGCGATTTTCACGATATTGATTCTTCCTAATCATGAACATGGAATGTTTCTCCATCTGCTTGTGTCCTCTCTTATTTTGTTGAGCAGTGGCTTGTAGTTCTCCTTGAAGAGGTCCTTTGCGTTCCTTGTTAGTTGTATTCCTAGGTATTTTATTCTCTTTGTGGCAATTGTGAATGGAAGTTTGTTCTTGATTTGGCTCTCTTTAAGTCTGTTATTAGTGTATAGGAATGCATGTGATTTTTGCACATTGATTTTGTATCCTGAGACTTTGCTGAACTCGCTTATTAGTTTCAGGAGATTTTGGGCTGAGACGATGGGGTCTTCTAGGTATACAATCATGTCGTCTGCAAATAGAGACAATTTGACTTCCTTCTTTCCTATTTGAATGCCCTTTATTTCTTTTTCTTGCCTGATTGCTCTGGCTAGAACTTCTAGTACTATATTGAATAGGAGTGGTGAGAGAGGGCATCCTTGTCTGGTGCCACATTTCAAGGGGAATGCTTCCAGTTTTTGCCCATTCAGTATGATATTGGCTGTTGGTTTGTCATAAATAGCTTTTATTATTTTGAGATACGTTCCGTCAATACCTAGCTTATTGAGGGTTTTTAGCATAAAGGGCTGTTGAATTTTGTCAAAGGCCTTCTCTGCATCAATTGAGATAATCATGTGGTTTTTGTCTTTGGTTCTGTTTATGTGGTGAATTACGTTTATAGAGTTGCATATGTTGAACCAGCTTTGCATCCCCGGGATGAAGCCTACTTGATCATGGTGGATAAGATTTTTGATGTGCTGTTGTAATCGGCTTGTCAGTATTTTATTGAAGATTTTTGCATCTATGTTCATCATGGATATTGGCCTGAAGTTTTCTTTTCTTGTTGAGTCTCTGCCGGGTTTTGGAATCAGGATGATGTTGGTCTCATAAAATGATTTGGGAAGGATTCCCTCTTTTTGTATTGTTTGGAATAGTTTCAGAAGGAATGGTACCAGCTCCTCTTTGTATGTCTGTTAGAATTTGGTTGTGAACCCATCTGGACCTGGGCTTTTTTTGGGTGGTAAGCTCTTAATTGCTGCCTCAACTTCAGACCTTGTTATGGGTCTGTTCAGGGTTTCGGCTTCTTCCTGGTTTAGGCTTGGGAGAAGGCAAGTGTCCAGGAATTTATCTATTTCTTCCAGGTTTACTAGTTTATGTGCATAGAGTTGTTTGTAATAATCTCTGATGATGGTTTGAATTTCTGTGGAATCTGTGGTGATATCCCCTTTATCATATTTTATTGCATCAATTTGGTTATTCTCTCTTTTCTTTTTTATTATTCTGGCTGGTGGTCTGTCTATTTTGTTGATCTTTTCAAAATACCAGCTCCTGGATTTATTGATTTTTTGAAGGGTTTTTTGTGTGTCTATCTCCTTCAGTTCTGCTCTGATCTTAGCTATTTCTTGTCTTCTGTTAGACTTTGAGTTTTTTTGATCTTGCTCCTCTAGCTCTTTCAGTTTTGACGATAGGGTGTCCATTTTTGATCTCTCCTTGCTTCTCATGTGGGCACTTATTGCTATATATTTTCCTCTAGAGACTGCTTTAAATGTGTCCCAGAGATTCTGGTATGTTGTGTCTTCATTCTTGTTGGTTTTGAAGAACATCTTTATTTCTGTCTTCATTTCATTGTTTATCCAGTCAACATTCAAGAGCAAGTTGTTCAGTTTCCACGAAGCTGTGCTGTTCTGGGTTAGTTTTTGAATTTTGAGTTCTAACTTGATTGCACTGTGTTCTGAGAGACTGTTTGTTATGATTTCCATTCTTTTGCATTTGCTGAGGAGTGATTTACTCCCAATTATGTGGTCAATTTTAGAGTACGTGTGATGTGGTGTTGAGAAGAATGTATATTCTGTGGATTTGTGGTGGAGAGTTCTGTTAATGTCTATTAGGTTTGCTTGGTCCATGTCTGAGTTCAAGTCCTGGATATCCTTGTTAATTTTCTGTCTGGGTGATCTGTCTAATATTGACAATGGGGTGTTAAAGTCTCCCACTATAATTGTGTGGGAGTCTAAGTCTCTTTGTAAGTCATTACGAACTTGCCTTATGTATCTGGGTGCTCCTGTATTGGGTGCGTATATATTTAGGATCGTTAGCTCTTCTTGTTGCATTGATCCTTTTACCATTATGTAATGTCCTTCTTTGTCTCTTTTGATCCTTGTTGCTTTAAAGTCTAATTTATCAGAGATGAGAATTGCAACTCCTGCTTTTTTTTGTTCTGCGTTTGCTTGGTAAATCTTCCTCCATCCCTTTATTTTGAGCTGTTGTGTATCCTTGCATGTGAGATGGGTTTCCTGGATACAGCACACCGATGGGTTTTAGCTTTTTATCCAATTTGCCAGTCTGTGTCTTTTGATTGGGGCATTTAGTCCATTTACATTTAGGGTTAATATTGTTATGTGTGAATTTGATACTGCCATTTTGGTGCTAGCTGGCTGTTTTGCCCATTAGTTGATGCAGATTCATCATTGTGTTGATTCTCTTTACCTTTTGGCATGTTTTTGGAGTGGCTGGTACTGGTTATTCCTTTATATATGTAGAGCCTCTTTCAGGAGCTCTTGTAAAGCTGGCCTGGTGGTGATGAAATCTCTGAGTACTTGCATGTTCACAAAGGGTTTTATTTTTCCTTCACTTATGAAGCTTTGTTTGGCTGGATAGGAGATTTGGGGTTGAAAGTTCTTTTCTTTAAGGATGTTGAATATTGGTCCCCATGCTCTTCTGGCTTGTAGGGTTTCTGCTGAGAGATCTGCTGTAAGTCTGATGGGCTTCCCTTTGTGGGTAACCCGACCTTTCTCTCTGGCTACCCTTAGTAATTTCTTATTCATTTCAACGCTGGTGAATCTGACGATTATGTGCCTTGGGGTTGCTCTTCTTGACGAATATCTTTGTGGTGTTCTCTGTATTTCCTGGACTTGAATGTTTGCCTGCCTTGCTAGGTTGGGGAAGTTTTCCTGGATAATATCCTGAAGAGTATTTTCCAGCTTGGATTCATTCTCTTCGTTGCATTCATGTACGCCTATCAAACGTAGATTAGGTCTTTTCATGTAGTCCCACATTTCTTGGAGACTTTGTTCATTCCTTTTTACCCTTTTTTCTCCAGTCTTGCCTATCCGTTTTATTTCATTGAGTTGATCTTCGACCTCTGATATCCTTTCTTCTGCTTGGTCAATTCAGCTGTTGATACTTGTGCATGCTTCGCGAAATTCTCTTGTTGCGTTTTTCAGCTCCATCAATTCACTTATATTCCTTTCTATTTTGTCCATTCTCTTTAGCATTTTGTCAAATCTATTTTCAAGATTCTTAGTTTCTTTGCATTTGGTTAGAACATGTTCTTTTAGTTCACAGAAGTTTCTTACTACCCACCTTCTTTAGTCTGATTCTGTCATTTCATCACACTCATTCTCCATCTAACCTTGTTCCCTTGCTGGTGAGGAGTTGTGATCCCTTGTAGGAGGAGAGGTGTTCTGGTTTCGGGTGTTTTCATCCTTTTTGCACTGGTTTCTTCCCATCTTTATGGATCTATCCACCTGTTGACTTTGTGGTTGCTGCCTTTCAGATTGGGTCTTCTAGTGGACGTTCTGTTTGTTGATGATGAGGTTATTTCTGTTTCTTGGTTTTCCTTCTGACAGTCTGGCCCCTCTGCTGTAGGTCTGCTGAGGTTCACTCCAGGCCCTGCTTGCCTGGAGTTCACCTGCAGCAGCTGCTGAACAGTAAGGGTTGTTACCAGTTTTCTTCTTCTGTTATCTTTGTCCCAGAAGGATACCTGCCAAGTGTCAGTCTGATCTCTCCTTTATGAGGTGGCTCTTTGGACATATAGAGGTCAGGGAGCTGCTTGAGGAGACGGTGTCTTCTTTATAGGAGCTCAAATGCTGAGCTGTGAGCTGTGTTTTTCAATCAGAGCTGCTGGGCAGGTGCGTTTAGGTCTGCTGCAGCAGAACTCATAAACTGCTTTTTGTTCCCAGGTGCTCTGTCCCAGGGATTTAGGGCTTTATGAGTTTTGGTTATGCTGCTGCCTTCTCTTTTTTTTTGTTTCCTTCAGAGCTGCCCTGTCCAGCAAGGAGGCAGCCTAGTAACTATCTGCCTGTAGAGGTTTTGCTGAGCTGCTGTGGGTTCTGCCCAGCTGCCGAGTGAGCTTCCCTGCAGTCCTGTTTATATGGGTGTAGTTAGAACTGCCTGGGCAATGGTGGCCTGCCTCTGTTAAGGCAGAGCCTCTCTGCAGTGGCGGGTTGCCTTGGCAACGGTGGGCTGCCTCAGCAACGGTGGGCTGCCTCAGCAACGGCGGGTTGCCTTGGCAACGGTGGGCTGCCTCAGCATTGACTGACTACCTCCCTCGTGGCGGGCTGCCTCGGTAATGGTGGACGCCCCTCCCCCACAGAGCTGAACCCTCCTGGGTTCAGCTGCGCTTGCTGTGAAACTCTCAATCCAGAGTTTCTGATTGCTGTTGTTTTGTGGGGGTGGGACCAGCCGAGCCTGATCGCTGTCTCCCTGCCTCAGAGCCAGTCACCTGTTGAAGAGGCGCAGGGGTCTGTGTTTTTTCCCCTGCGGTGACTCACTGCTCTGGCTTAAACAGCGGCACTGAGATTCGTGGCACTTTTTTTGCCCTGGAATCTACTGTCCTGGCTCCCTGCTCAGTCCCCATTTTAAACAGACGAATGGGCGACTTCTCGTGGCTCCAATCGCCAGCCAAGAGGGCACCTGGACCAGTGTATTTTGTATGGAGAACCGCTGCTCCGGGGCGCCGACAAAGCAGCTGTGCGGGGCAAAGCAGCGGCGCCAGCCGGCACAGCCGTGCTGGCCGGAACAGCCTCGCTGGCGACCTGTGGAGCTCCTCCGCCTGGGAATTTCCTAGTCTGTAGGCAATAAAAATGCAGCGTCCACTCACCCTCTGCGCTTTCACTGGGAGCTGCAATCCTGAGCTGTTCCTAAATGGCCATCTTGGATCTCCCTCCCGAAGGTCATTTTTATAAAGATCTCTCCATGTCTTAGATTTGATTCTTCCTTCAAATAATATTCTTACATTTAATATGTAAGAATATTATTTGAAGGAAGAATCAAATGTAAAATGTCCATTGAGGATGAGGCTATAGTCAGAACCTTTACTGTGGTGTCTGCACTCTTAACATTGTGTGGGGCTGTTGCCCAGCCATGATCTTGGGGGAATGCCACTAAAGTGGCCAGTGTGCTTTTGACTTCCTTATATGAGGGGCCTCTGAGAAAAATATCATCAGTGTAATGCCACAGGGTACAAAGGTCCTGAAACACATGTTTAAGTTCTGCAGCTGGGCTACTGATATAGCATGTGGGCAGTCTGGTAAATGTGTATGGACTCTCTTCAAAAGTATAAGCAGATGGGGACTCCTCTGTTTCGGGAATAGCACAGAACATATTGGCCAAATCTGCTGCAAAATGTTGTCCCATAGTCCTTTGATTGCCTTTTACTAACCGAACTATGTTCGTAGTTTGGACCTTGATGGGGAGGGTAGCTGGACATTAGCTTTCTATGATCAATAGTTTGTATTATTTGTAAGAGATTTAAGTACTGTCCAAATGGGAGAATTGAAAGAGTGTGTTATGTGCTTGATAACTCTTATATCTAAAAGATATTTTATAATGAACCAAAGCCTCTCAGTTTTCAGACCCAGGTGGTGCTATGGTATATGAACCTCCTTCACTGGCTATAGAAAACATGCCAATTCCCATTTGACTTGTCCTGCCAGGAGGGCCAGGAACATAGATTTGTTCTATATAGAGTGTTGGCAGGTTATGACGTCCATGCCTAAAATGGGATATAAGAAAGAGAAGGGAGCCACTACAATTAGTAGATTTTAAAAATGATGCCCACTGCGACCTCAGTGGTGATATGTTTGCTCATGACTGGGTTGGCCAGAGTTTTCAGAAAGCAATGGGTGACCTGTCCTTTGGGTGCTTTGGATTCCTAAAAATGACTATGATTTGTGCTCCAGGGTCTCTAAGGGTAGAATTGAGTATTGTTGGTTAGGTCTGTTCCAATGAATGGTCACTGATGTGTATGGACAGTTGTGTTTTGTTGGAGGGACGTGGGCCAGGGCACTTCCAAGTTTCTAGGATAGGGACTGGGGAGGCTGCCGTTTCTGCAGGTCTGCAAAAAGGTCAAGATGAGCCTTGCTGATGGGTCTTGAGTTGCAGTGGTACTAGGGATGTTGTGGCTATCTTGTCCATCCCATGTGAGTCAGGACTCGGAATGCCTTGGCCACCATACATAAATTACCTCTGATCTGACCCATGTTGAGATGATTTCACATGCCAAAGCTATGGAGCTGCCAGTAGAGGATTTTTTTTTTCCAATTATTTCTCCTCTCTGTGAAGAGGGGAGCAGATGATTTCCTGCATTCAGAGTGTTGCCTGTGTGGTGGTGAACAATAAGGAGCATTGAATTCCCATCTGCCTTTCTGGAAATGGCAAGGCTGTGGGTTGTAGGGACCCCAGCCTCTACTGGGAACCCATGAGCAGACAGTATTTCAGCTTCTCTGGCGTCTCTTGTGTAGCAGCCTAAGGCATCCATTTGGTCTGAGGCTTGTTGGACCATGTCAGTGGTTTCTACGAACTAGAAAGTTAGACTTCCCTGGTAGGTTTCGAGTGGCAGAGTTCCGGGGTGGGGTGAGGGTAGCAGCTCCTTTTTTTTTTTTTTTTTTTTTGAGACAGAGCCTCGCTCTGTTACCTAGGCTGGAGTGCAGTGGCACGATCTCGGCTCAGTGCAACCTCTGCCTCCCAAGTTCAAGCAATTCCCTGCTTCAGCCCCTGGAGTAGCTGGGATTACAGATGCCTACCACCACACCCAGCTAATATTTGTAATTTTAGCAGAGACAGGGTTTCACCATCTTGCCCAGGCTGGTCTTGAACTCCTGACCTCATGATCCACCCACCCCAGCCTTCCAAAGTGCTGGGATTACAGGTGTGAATGCCCGGTCGGGAACGGCTTCTTTAAGCAAAAATTTCTTGGCTTTGACTCTAAGGAGCTTCCTGTGGTTTCGAGATAGTGGTGGGGTCTGTAGGGGAATGGTACTTAGCAAAATGATTGACCCATTGCACAATGCCTGTCAACAGGGCAGAAGTCCAGCCCTTGCGAAGGTTTTTCACTTTCCCTATGCCTTCATCATAATCAGGGTGAAGAAGTTGTAAGCCTTTCACCAAGCTGTAAAGACCCATATGAAAAGAGGCAGTGCCTCCTCCTTGGCAGTCAGTTTCTCATCACTCCCCGCTGTGAACCTGTCTTCATTCATGTCCTTGATGCTATGACTCCTACGCTGATG